CTGCCACAAGTGATCCATAGGGTTAAAAAAAAGTTTCAATATGGCTACCACAGCCTTACATTCAATTGCATGTTAAGTTCTTTAAATAAAAAAAATAAAAAAAAGGAATCTATGCTATTACACTGAAATTTGTTCATATTCTCTTGGACAGGAACTTTAATGTTGGTACTTATTTCTTTCTAGAGTGGTGTTAGGGGCACACCCCCTACCACACCACCAACCACACACCCCCCTCTCCCATCGCTACAGTAAACCAAGGGGCACCCCCCCTACCACACCACCAACCACACACCCCCCTCTCCCATCGCTACAGTAAACCAGACCCCACATGGGATTTTAAAAATTTTAAAATCCCGTATGGAGCCCGGTTTACTGTAACGATGGGAGAGGGGGGTGTGGTTGGTGGTGTGTTAGGGGGTGTGCCCCTAACATTATTTTTCTTTCTATAGTAAAAATAACAAAATCACAAAAAGTATGCCCTGCGGAATAAAGACCAAGAGCAACAGTATGCCAAACAGAGAGGGGTTAAATATAAAGCTAAAATAAACACACGAAAAATCCTTTTAACAAAACAGATGGATACATGAAGGACACACTCTACTGACATTCTTTCCCCAGAAAGCAGCACAATAACGTTTCTTTAAGTTCGTTACGCATTAACTCTACATAAATTAAAAAGATACCAAAGATGATATCTGCAACATTACACAAGCTTATTATTGACCGGAATTGATTCCAAAGAGTCGGACTTTGTGCATGTTTGGGAACTTAGCGACAACCAATATGATCACCGCGACAGTATTGAGGAAAAGCATAGGATGTTGGTAATCAGTTGTGTGTGAAGCTATCAAGTATCTGCAAAAGAGGAAGGCAAGACGAAAACTATTAAACCTATTGGTCAGAATTGAACACAAGGGAAAAATAAGTATTGTGTCATGTTATCGGACATAATAATTGCTCTTGAATATCTAACTTTCACAAGCTATGAAAGTGAAGGGAAAATCATATGAGACAGTTATAAAACCCGACAATATTTCATGGATAAGAAAGTTGGGCAATTAAGAAAAGCAATGTGCAAAAAATGATTGTGGCAAAAATGAGAACGTTATGGACTTGTGGATGGACACTACTAATAGATAAGATAAGAAATGAGCGTATTCATAGGATGTCAGAGTTTGCTCCTATGCTCTCCTATTAATGACAAAATAAAAGAGAATCAGCAGAAGACTGTTTGGTCATGTGCAAACGAGACCGCTAAATGCACTAGTAAGTAATAAAATTATGGTTAATGTGGAAAGGACTAGAGATAGGCCTAAATGAATTTAGTTGGCGGCAATTAAAAAGGATAATTAATAATTAATTACAACAGAGGAGATACCCTAAACAGAAGTGAATGAAAACATAGGATTTATGTAGCCGACTCCAAAAAATTGGGATAAACTTCTGTTGTTGTATATAACTTTAACAAATTTAATTAATTCATAGTATAAACTACTTTTAAATCTGAAACTAAAAATTTTAGGATAAAACATGTTTTAGATGTGCTAGACATCCAAAGAGTAGGTTTTTTATGTATCCGCAACTCGAAAGTAGTAAGCTATTCATATCCTAATCCTAATGATACAACCATCATGCAATAAGAAATAGTTTTTATATATCAAACTGTGTAACAGTGAATTTTTCATTTCCTGATGAATAAAAGATGAACTAATCAGTCCAGCATCTGATAAAACAACAAATCTTAAAATTAACAGCTGCAGATACTGATATCTACGTCAATGAACCATTTTACGGTGCACAGAAATCCTTGGATTTATATCCACAGATCACTTTGGCCATTCATGGCTCATAAATGTTCTCAAAAAATTGGTTATTTGACTAAGATAATTTATTTAATGCACAGAGAAATTTAGATCGTATCCTATGTTTAATGTCTTTTAAAAAGAAGTTTAACAGCTTAGGTTCAGAATCGGAAAAAAAAAGAAACTGAAAATGATTATGCTTCTAATATTTAAAGGCAGAGCAAGCAAATAGTAGTATCTTCAGTGTTAGTTCCGACATCATCATCTCACTAATCTAATCTATGATCTCCCCTCTAAGGACATTGAAACAAACGACAATGGGTGGTTATATTGTGAGCTTTTATTTTCTTCACTTGGAGATTAAACAATCTTTTTCACCTTCAAAGCAACTCCCAGTAGCAATTTGTCTAATTCTGTACTACATTCTGAACTCTCTCACCAGAGGACAATTTTGAAGCTGTTCCTTGGTTGCTCAAATTAGTTTCAGTCTGCAGCTGACAGAACTTAAGAAACAGAAACAGATTCACTAAAATCTACCAAAAACCTTTGAAATCAGCACAGAACAAACTAGGAAATTCATGAGAACAGAATAGATAAAAGGACTTCTTGGAGACGATCAACTGCTGCCTTCTCTTTGTCTTCCACATAATGATGGGAAGGAAACTTTCCAGAATTGGGACATCAGATGGGGTTAAATCCAAATAGAACCTGACATATTTAGCAGTAATTAACTCATTGTCTTAGAACTTCACTGTATTTGATTAAGGTCATACATAAATAAAACCAATAATGTCTACAAACTGAATCAGTTAAATAGCCAACCATTAGCAGTTGTGGTGAGCCTTCAAATGGGTAACAACTTTGGAAGGATTAGTTCACTAAGTGAATAGCCATTAGAATACAAGTTACTCTTTTAGCGTTTGGAATTGACAAGTAAAAGAATAAATGGCTTTTAAGAAAAAGCACATCAATTGATACTTGACTAAATATAAAAAGGGGTTATTTGTATATATAGATATTTGCAAAATTAGCCCCCAAATCTCGGTAAACTAACCCCCCAAATCATCGATTTTGGAAGAAGAAAAAAAAACTATGTCTAAAATCATCGACTTTGGAAGGGTGGAAAAACTACCTGTCGTCAATCCTGCTTGATTTCATCACGTCCATCGACTTGTTTTTTTCCTCAAGAAGCTTATGGCTAAAACATGTGCCTCTGTCTAAAGCCCTAGGGAAGGACTGAATATAAAGAAGCATCTTCAACAATTAAACTACCCTTGGAGTGGACAATGGTTGTCACTATTTGTTATTTCCTACTATTTACCCTTTTGCTTTAAAATGCAAAAAGCTTATTTATGGTTTTGTAATTATGTGACTCGAAGTATCCTCTCCTTCAAAAATTTTATGTACAAGGTTGATTATAGTGTATTTCCAAGAAAGAAAAAGGAATAAAGAAACAAGAAAATGAAAATTGAACGAAAAGAGGAAAAAGAAAAGGAAAAAAAGAGAAAAGAAGGGGAAAAAAGAAAAAGGGAAAAAAATTGATCAAGATCCCACATATGGTTTGATCAGTTTTTTTTTTTTTTTAATTTACTAAGGTTGATCTACTTCTATTTCAGTCTTTTTCTTATTAGCCTATCTTCAAGTCTATATTGTGCGTAATACCTGAGACCCTACTTCTTGTCCCCATGTCTAAGGCCTTATATCTTATCTCTATGATCATGACTCTATTGTCTCTCTATATCTGTGACCAAGGATATTTGTGGTCTTCTGATTTGGAATCACTAATGGCTATTTCCGATTAACCAGTTTATTCTGCTAAAATTTGAACTGGTATTGTTGCTCGTAAAGCTGTTGAGGATTGAAAGGAAAGTAACTACTTCATCAAAACCATGAATATTGTCAAGATTGATGATATTTTCAAGAAAAAATCACTCTTATGTAACAAGCTGACCATAATTATATGCTTCAGCTTGGGAGAGAGTACTAGAGGTGTATATTAAGAAAGTTAGAGAGTATAACAAGATCACAGGATTGTTTTTTGAGCATTTTGTCATTATTTTAAAAAATTAAATACCAACTCCAATCCTCTTCTTCCTTCTATTTAAGAGAGAACACATTCATATCTTCTTCTTCAACTGATTTCTTCACCAAATCCAAACACATAAAGAAATTTAAATCTACTAAAAACCTCCAGGTGAAAGGGAGGAATATTTCTCAAAATATTAAATGAATAGAAATGTCATTCACGTCCTCCTTTTTAACTTAACAATATTAATTGCTTCTTACAGATTTAGGGTACCTTTCGAGCAAATTTAAATTTAGGCCATTGAAGTAAAAAATAACTGATGAAACTTTGGGGTATTAAAGTGAAAATTGCCCAAAAAGAAGCAAGGAATGTGATGTCAAATTAAAATTGTGTACCTTTCATTCCGAACTCCGAAGCTCAACATATAATAATCTTGCTCACGTGTGGAGGCATTTAATTTGAATCCTATTCATACCACTCAAATGAATATAGCAAGGTAATGGACTCCTTGAAAACAAAAACTTCCTATGCCAAGCATTGTCCAAATCTAGGTTTACGAAGTTCTATTCTTAATACTGTCACTAGCCTCAAACAGTTTGACCACAGTATATCTGCTGGTATCACTCTTAAGCCCATTTATTTCTAGAGACAAGCTGGTGTACTACATACAAGATGCATCTAATAATTTTCAATTGTTTGTCTAGTCAGAATCTTTTCAAGAAATTGGTAAGTAACAGGTAATGTACATTGCACATATCGAGTGCCTTCTTTGATGGCAATCGAAGAATTGCAACTCATTTTCTCTGTTACATCAAAAATATTTTTCTAGGCTAACTTCAGCACCTAAGTACCATCATCATTGAATTGTATCCAGGATCCACCATCACATCTGTCTTTTGTTTCACTAATAGCATTAAATAAGATAATGTATCAGAGTTGCCCACTGCTCACTCTATTTAGTAGCGAAGTTTAGACATATATCTAGGAACAAGGTTATCGATAGCGGATAGCGTCGCGTAGCGGTGAGGCATCCCTAAGACTATTTGGGGCTATTGCGGTAAAATAACGATAAAAGGCACAAAGTCAAATAGCGGTCTAATTTAGATATGTATAAGTACTAAAAAAATTAAAGAAAAATCTAAAAAAATTAAAAGTACATATTTGATGATTTAAAGAGATCCTAAACATGAAATAGATATGTAAACATCACGTAATACTGAAGACGACTGGAGGAGTCAAAGAGTCGTCGTCTTCGAGAAGAAAAGCTGAGTGGTGATAGGATTGCCATAAGAGGAGCTCACGGTGAAGGAGGTGAGAGAAAATACTAAGGTAGGTGCCAGAGGCTATGAGAGGTGGCGGGAGTGTGTCGAAAATCACAGGAGACGATGGAATGCAATGGTCAAGGGTTGGGTTTAATTTTAAAAAAATAAACCTCAAACCGTTTTTAAATAGTAGTCAAAAAGCAAATTCCGCATGCAATCGCCCACTATTTACCGTTATGGTACACTATTGACCGTTTTTGCGAACTAAAAACGTATATTCCGTAATATGTCACCACTATTAGGCGATAGCGTAACGGGAAGGGACCACTAACGCTAATAGCACCGCTATGTGGGGCTATTTACCGCTATTTATAACAGTGTCTAGGAATAATAGCTAATTGTGGACTGACTTCTCAGTTAGGTACGAGAGGTCCCAAACTTCCCTCCACAACGTGCCGCAACAAGCCACACACTGATTCTAGCCCTAGTATTAAAAAGCTCGAGCTGTATGAAATATCCAAGTGTATGAATCATAGCTTGCCTAGGTTCAAAAGTGTTGTAAACCAGAGTGTATCCAGCCGTATAGTTGGTCATACTAGATGATATTTGATATTGAATTGTTTTCATTAGATGTACTGCTTGGTAGTTTGATTTCATTAGAGATTTTGTAAGTGATATTTGATATTGCCATCATGCTGGACTTTTTAAGTGTCATGGATGTTTGTAAACTGTATTAAAGCATGTTCTTCAAAGTTCAAACTTACTACTCGTGCTCATATTGTACTTTCTTGCATTTGGGTTTTATTCTTTATCTATTTTAAATTAAGTTAGGTATGGTATTTAATTTAGTTTGTCAATGTAGCTTTCCATCTCTTGTTAAGCATAAACCATAAGCACTCATAAAATTTGATATTTCCATGTGTTATAAGGGGTCTTCAAATTTTAAAACATAGGTATATGTAATCTTTATATTTTATGGATTACTCTAGCATTTGCTATAATTTTATTTAAATTTACACAATAAAATTGCATGCAGCTGTTTATGCAGTGCACATGCAGTACCATGTGCATCAAGGAAACGTGTTATTGTCGATACCACATTGTGTAACACGAGAAACAATTGGCAAACTGTTTAAATCAGAAGCCATTTGCAAAAGCAAGTCTTACCCTACCTTTCTGATCAAGAATATATCAGAAGAAAGTTAGAGAACCTCTTTTTTCCTTTTTATTTTCTTTTTCTTTTTTGGAGATAAACTATGACGATCTTAAGCAAAAGCATCCATTTGCATGAATACGAATATGGGCACGATTATGGGGCTGGTGCAAGACACAACAATTTATAAAAGGTAGGGTATTGGGACACAATTAAAATACATGGGCTAGATATTTGAATGACTCTTTGAAATCATACTTTACTCGACCCGTATTCAACAAGTTTCAAAAGAGGATGTGAAGTTTAGGATATATGTCCAAGAAGTGTATGACAAAGTGTTTTGAATTAAAACATGTATTGTATAATTGAGTACACATATAAAAAATATATGCATATATTTAAAGAGTGTCCAAGAAGTGTTGGGTATGGATATGGGCGTGCGATATGTCGGGCATGGCTTCATGATAAACGTACCTAGATAACATGGATCCAAAATGAACCTCAAAAGTTTCCCTTGAATATCACTGCATCCTGCCCCCACACCCACTCGCAACACACCCTCCCACCCATCAACACACTCACACACAAAGAAAGGAAAAAAGAAAAGGCACTAGGAGAAATAAAAGGTTTTAAATAAAAGAAAAAGAATAAGATTATGGTCGTCAGCATCAGCACTATGAGGTTAATTTATTAAAGTGTGCTAGGATAGATTATTTGGAACAAGAAGGATTTAAGTATGTTGGAAGTTATTGGAATAGGGAGGTCATATTTTTAATAAAACAAGGAGACATGCCTTTTCAGCCTTTGCATATGAAGATGGAAACATAAATTCATCATTAAATTACCAAGTTGGAGGACTCATCATTTTGATTTACAGTCAACAACTGTTAAACTAATCATGGTTCAGTTTCAAGGTTGATTTTCTTTCTAGATCTTATGTGTAGTGTTTAAAATATAGCTGACAAGTTCGACATGTTGACATGTCTGCTTAAATGTCATTTTGTAGGGCTTGTTGTAATGAGAAAGGATTTACATTTTATTTATCGTTATTTGGGAAATTATCCATGACATATCGGGATTTTCCAATATATCAGCCAATGTTCTGGGATTTCCCCGGTACATCACGCACTATATTGAACCGAAAAATCAGCTATAATGGGCCATGATGGGATGCTTATATTTAGTTTAAGTTTGAGTTTGGGTTAAAGCTCAATCTAGCCCTAATACCAAGCCTAAACCCGTTTTATGTAGATCTCAAAACGAGAGAATTAAAGCTCAATTAAGCCTCAATTCTTTGCCTTGCCCTTCTCGAGTAAAGAGTCTTTTGAACCTCGACTCCATGTCGTCACTGGTAAGCCCCTTCTCTTTCTTAACCTCCCTTTGCGTCTATTTCGCCTCTTCTTAGTGGTTGAAAGTTTTTCTGGCTCCTAAACATATCTTATTTAAATAGTTTGATTGTTTTTATGTTTAGATTACATTTAGGACATCTATGATAGGTATATACACTATCAATACGACGTTCCGATATTTATTAAAAATCCCTGACATCCACTCAACATTGAATTATTTCCATCCCACATGACCCCAATATCCGACCTTTAGAACACTGCATATATGCATGCAGATACGATATGATGCAGCAATTAAAATTTTAAAAATACAAGGTGTCGGGAATTAGCAATTCTTTCATAATGAAGGGAAAGTATCTCCTCAGAAGAATCAGAAAAGGTATAAATGTGTTTAATGTGATAAAATTGGCAGCTAATAAGAGGAAACGATCATTAAACGAGTCAAAGCATTCCAAAAACATTGTTGCTCATTGATCTAGGGATTCATTCTGATTCTTAATAGACATACGATCATATTAAGAAGTAAGGCGACAATTAAAAAATTTACTCACAGGACTACGGGAGCAACAGTCAAGAATTTCCGATTACGAGTAAGTTGCTTGCCATTATCAATTTGTTCCCACCATGTTAGAGTATTGTAGACCCCTTGATCTTCAGCAAAGGGTGTTCCTTTCTTCCAGTGGAAAAAGTGATAAGTAATCTGGAATAAATGAGAAACGATCTGTAAGCAATAAAGAAAATAGATGCTCCATGTAGCTAGGAGCATCGAGTATAAAGTAATAACAAATTCAAGAGAGAAATACAATTGAACGGGTGTATTCATCAAATATATGCATCTATGTAATGTAACAAAGTAAAAAAAAAAAAAAATCTATCCAATTTCTCTACATTGAGCCAAGAATCTAATACTTCACTAGACAAAACAATGTCAACACTGTATGGATCAATTATTCAAAAGCTAAGAATTAGTGTTAAATCATAAGATTCTCATATTGCAGCCAATAAAAGGTCATTGCCTCCGAAAAGAGCAAGGTGATCAAGGCAGAGTTTACTTTCAATTTTTTATGCCAAATTAGGGAAACCCCGATAAACAATCAACACTTCACTAACAATCCACACAAATTCAAATCATTACCAAAATATTCAAGCAAACAAGTCAAAAGCCACTAGACTCCCACGTTGATTAAAAAAAATAGTGCTTTTCTCATCCAAATTAAACCAACGATTTCAATTCTGTCTAATACCCAGATAAAAATATTATTCCTTTCACCAATCAAACAAAATGAAACCCATCAAATTCATCAGGGCATGCACATTGCCCCCCAGTTAATAACCAAAGTTGATCTTTTTTTCCTCACAGGATCCAAATTAAACCAGCATCTTCAATTCTGTCAAATACCCACAAGGAAAGTTTCCTCCTTTCATAAACCAATCAAAATAAAAACCCATCAATTTCATCTGGCCACGTGCAATTTTCCCCCAAAAAAAAGGAGGGGGGAAAGGGTAAAGAAATCACAACAAAACCTACAATTTCAATTCTCTCAAATACCCAGATGGAAAAACTCCTCCATCCATCAGTAAATCAATGTAAAACCCATCAAAATTCATCTGGGCATCGCCCCTCCCCAATTACGCACCAAAAAAACCCCCAAATATACCAAAAAAAATAAGGGAAAAGAGAGATCAACATACGATAAAATGACATAAATTGACGATGGTCCAAGCGATCCCAGGTGTGCATCGAAAAAGAGAGAGCACAATGAGCCAAGCAAAGAAGAGGATGAGGATGTAAGTAGTCCAAACACCAGGGTACATGAACCACTCTGTGTTTTTATTCACATCTGGCGGCGTTACCATCGTCTCATACAACTTAGCCATTATTCTCTCTCTCTCTCTCTCTCTCTCTCTCTCAAGATTAAGTGAGTTATTTTATTTTTGTGAATATTTATAGTAATGGATGAAGAAAGAAAGAGAGAAGGTTCGATTTGTTCAACTGGAGAGAGGGAGAGAGAAGAATAGGTCAAGGGCTCGCGCTAAGTCAGACTTTTCGCTTGTTCTCCTTCGCGGATTTGATCTAATTGAGTATTTTAGGTGGAAGGTATCGTTTCCAAATTTGTTTTTAGGTTTTTGGCATAAATTGCACGTAGATGCTTTATTGTTTCCAAAAAAAAACATTTATATATCCTCATTAAAAAAGCAGAACATATATATAGTAGTATATATTATATATATATATTATATATATAATATATATAGATAGAGAGAGAGAGAGAGAGAGAGCAAACTTGTGTCAAACTTAAGTGGTATATGGAAAAAGTTGTGCGGCACCGTCAACTTTTAGTCACTCATATTGCCTAGGGATCATTGCATAAAGTTATGAAAAATATTTTTATATTAATAAATGAGTGGCGCTTAGGAAGTTTGATGGATATGCAACTTCAGTTGATTCCCGGAGTGCTTTAGCTATAGGTCTATATAGTATATATATTATTATAGTATATATATATATATAGTATAGTATATATATATAGTATATATACTATATAAGTGAAGAAAACATGAGCATACTTGGTACCGAAGCATAAACAAGTTGTGGCTTAGTAGAGTGAGCGTAAGGCAATAATCTCGCTCCACTCATTGTATAATGGTTGCATATTGCTCATTGCACTCCTGGCAACGGCCATGTGAAGTGGTGGTGGCCGCACCATTGTAGAATGAGTGGAGAGGAAATTTCCACCTGCACTACCAGCACAACCAGCTTTGGTGCTTGGTACGCGAAGCATCACGCCATCATTTCTGCGGTGCTGCTCTCTGCTTCTATTGCTGCTCTATATATATATATATAGTATATAGTATATATAATATAATATAGTATATATATATTATATATATATATATATATATATATATATATATATGAGAATAGGGTATGGGCTGTGGTAGTGAGTTGATATAGGATCGGCGCCTTCAGCTGCATATCAAATGGGGGAGCCATATTCACATGGGTTGAGAGTGGCATGGGGATTATGCACCATTTGAATGAGGGCTAGAGGAGATTGATAGTCGACCTGCACTACCAGGGCATAACTTTTTGTGTTTAGTACCAGTAACATAGCGCGCAACTTTAATATATATACTATAGTATATATATTATATATATAGTATAGATATGATATATATATATGATATAGTTATATATATATATATTAGTATATATATCAAAGAAAATAGGTATGCTTGGTACCAAACATAAATTTTGTGTTTGGTAGTGAGATGTTCTATTATCATCCACTCATTCCAATTCCTAACCACTCACCAACCTATGTAAATGTGGGCTCCGATTTTAATGAGTGGAGGGGAATATGTCACATCACTACCAAGCACAAAAACTTGTGTTTGGTACGAATCATACTCATTTCTCTCTCTTTCTCTCTCTCTCTCTCTCTCTCTCTCTCTCTATTATATATATATACATATAGGGAGAGGTTCAAATACAAACCTCGCTATCCTAAAAACTAAAAACCTCTCCTCTCCATTGGATCTAGATTCATCCAATGGCTGAGATTAAACCTGCGTGAGGGTAATCTGGTAAAATAAACAGCACCCAAAGAGAGGTAATTAATGCTTCTGTTGAGTTCTCCATTTCCCCATGCAATCTTACGACTCAGGCAACCCAACAGTCACGAATATCAGCTCTCGTTTATCGTCCAGCAGCTTTCAATCGTGAAATTGTCCAGCAGCTATCTCGTTCATCGTCCTTCAGATCTTCAGCTCTCGTTCAGAAATCGTCCAGCAGCTCTCGTTCATCGTTCATCGTTCTTCAGCTCTCGTTCATCGAGAAAACGTCCAGTAGCTCTCATTCATCGTTCTTCAGCTCTCTTGTTCGAAGTCCAGCAGCTGGACATTGCTCAACATTTTATGGAGATTGAAATGGAGAGCTTGAATTCAGGTGTGCATGGTCTAGTTTTTTTCATTGTAATGGAACTAGATTCAGTATTTAAAAACTTAGTCATATGACTTATTATCTTGTAGCTTACATTCTTAAACATTTTATGGAGTTTTAAATGGAGAATTTGATGCATTGAATCGAGATTTTTTCATTTGTTCTAAATGGATAGTGGTAAATATTGGTGGTCTGGATTATGCAATATGCACTCTAGTTGAGTTTATCTCGATTCAGTTGAGTGGATCGAGATAAACTGGGTGAATCTACTCTATTCAGTTTAGTGAATCGCGATTCACTGGATAAATCGTCTCGATTCAGTTTTGTAAATCGCGATTCAGTTGAGTGGATCGATATTCACTGGATGAATATACACGATTCAGTTGAGTGAATCGCGATTCAGTCGAGTGGATCGAGATTCACTGGGTGAATCTACGCGATTCAGTTGAGTGAATCGCGATTCACTCGTTGATTCGACTCGATTCAGTTTTGTAAATAGCGATTCACTGGGTGAATCGTCTCGATTCAGTTATGTAAATAGCGATTCACTGGGTGAATCTACTCGATTCAGTTAGGAAAGTGAGGGTTTTAAATTTTTTCCATTTTCTTTGATCTTGTTAGAATAAGTCAAGTAATTTTTATATTGTAAGATGTTTTCATTTGATCTAAATGGATAGCGGTAAATCCAGATTCAGTATATCAACACATATGATTGATGGTGTTTTATTTTCAGTTGTAGGCAGCAATGAACAAATTTACATACCACATGTTATAAATGCATCGGACAGTGATTTTGGGGAAGATGGAATGGACGAAGTTAGCTCTATTCCTTTTGAATCACCAGGTGGTGGTATGTATTGGAAACCTCGGGTTGAAGCTGAAGTTAAACCTTATCTAAACCAAAGCTTTCGCTCACTAGAGGATGGTATAGAGTTTTACCGAGAGTATGGACGTAAAAGTGGGTTTGAGATCAGACGGCATACGGAGAAGAAACATGAGGACGGTACAGTTCTTCTTAAACACATTGTTTGCAGTAGAGCTGGCAGCAATGAATCAAAGATGGATGTTGATATTGATGAGTCTAGTAGCATTTTGAAAAAGAGAAGGAGAACTGTATCTAGTAGATGTGGTTGCAAAGCTAAGGTCGTATTTAAGTTTGATGGTTTGAAAGGATATAATGTTCTCTCATTTGTTGAAGAGCATTCTCATTCTTTGGTCTCCGGTAGTGGGAAACAATTTTTGAAGTCAAATAGAGTTCTCGGTCTCGCACATAAGAAACTTGTATTTGATGGAGCAAAAGCCAACATGGGGCCTAACAAAACATATAACTTTGCTAAAGAGTTGTGTGGAAGTTATTCTAATGTTGGTGCTACTTGTACCGAGTTTAAAAATTGGAGTAGGGATGTGAAGCTTTATATTGGTGATCGAGATGCTCAAATGATCATCGAGAAGTTCACGGCTAAGAAGGAGATGAGTGATGGATTTTTCTATGATTATGCAGTCGATGAAGGTGGTCGATTAACTCGCATTTTTTGGGCAGATGTTATTGGTCGAAGAAATTACGATGTATTTGGAGATGTGATATCATTTGACTCTACATATTCCACAAACAAGTAAGATTTTATAGTTAATCTCTTACTATTTTCAATATTGTAATTATATATCATAGTGAATCTTATATTTTTTGTATGTGATACAATAGGTACAACATGAAGTTTGTTCCATTTACTGGTCTCGACAATTATAAGAAGTGTGTTGTATTTGCAGCAGGATTGATAGCTAAAGAGGACATTGATAACTATGTCTGGATTTTTGAGGTATTCATGAAATGCATGATTCGCGAGCCAAAGTGTATTGTTACAGATCAGTGCCCTGCCATGAAGCAAGCTATACCAACTGTCTTTACAGAAGCACGTCACCGCTTGTGCATGTGGCACATAATGAAGAAATTTAACCAAAAGGTAATGAATCATGCATTCAAATATAATGAATCCTCATTAGATAAATACTGAATCTTTCGTTATATATTTATATTGTAGTTGGCAAAATGCATTTCGAAGATGGATGATTTCAAGAGGAAGATCAATGCACTGATTTGGAGTGTAGATATAGATCCAGCAACATTTGAAGTAGGTTGGAAAGATGTTATGAAAGAATATAAGCTTGAAAGTAATGAATGGTTGTGTGAACTGTATAACATTCGGGAGTCATGGATTCCAGCCTATTATGCTGATGATCCATTGGCTGGTTTATTGCGTACTACATCAATATCAGAGAGTGAGAACAGTTTTTTTGACAAATTCAACCGTAGATCTGACACATTGACAGAATTTTATCTCCGATACGAGAGTGCTATGGAGAAGCAAAGGCATACAAACGCAAGATTAAACTATGAAGGAACGAAGTCGATGCCAAGAATGGACGGGCCATTGTTATTGGAGAGGGATGCAGCAGAGTTGTACACTCGAACAATGTTTTATGAGGTACAGAAAGAGATAATGTCATCCTGTTATGATATGAGTATCAACAGTATATCAGAAGAAGATGGTGTGAAGATTTTTTCCTTAAAGGACAAAAAGAGACATGGAAAAATATTTGAGGTAAAACTTAATAATGGACAAAAGGAGGCATGGAAAAATATTTGAGGTAATACTTAATAGCGTTTTTTGAAACAATAAAAATTTAATCTATTTTTATTGTAGTGAATCCCGATTCAATGAAGTGAATCGCGATTCAAGTAAGTGAATCTCGATTCACATCACTGAATCGAGATTCAGTGACCATTACAATGACTTGTCATTTTCTTTATTTAATCGGTGCTAATATACATTGTTTTTTTAATTTTAGGTGAAACACACTTATTTGAACAATGACGTTCAATGTACGTGTAGGCTGTTTGAGAAAATGGGTATAGTATGTAGGCATGGTTTTTTTGCACTTAACCAAGCTGATGTAACAAAAATACCAAGACATCTTGTTGTGAACCGATGGACAAAAGGTGCTGAAATGAGGCATTCATTGCAGTTCAAGGAAATATCAGAACAATGTAATGCAATTGAAGTTACAAATCGTAAGTTGAATGACATATGGTATGATTTCCAATCCTGTGTGAGTT